TGAAATTTAAACGATTTTCCTTAAGTAATCAAATGAATTTTGTTGCCAACGAGGTTTTACCTATATAAATGCGTTGTTTTAAAATTTAGTTATTTTTCGCAAACCTTTTAGTTAAATCAGTTACAAAAGACGATGGCGTGGCAATCCGAGTTCACGAAACTCGGGGCATTACAACTACTGCAGGTGGCCTTAAAGAAGGGCCGGAAGCCGTCGAAAAGTGGTTCGAAAAGATACCATATGCGAAAGAAAAATTAACCAAAATTCATTTCTACCTTCATGATACGATAAGTGGAAAGAATATAACTTCTTATATGGTGGCTCAATCCAACATTACATTCAAGTCCCCAACTTCATTTGGTCTAGTAAGTGTAGCAGATGATCCTTTAACGGTGGTGCTGGAACCCGACTAGAAGATCATGGGTCGACCCCAAGGGATATACGGTTTTGATTCACTAGAAGAGTTGAGTCTACTCATGATCCTAAATTTGGCTTTCACAGATGGAAAGTATAACGGTAGCACACTTAGTGTACTGGAACTTGATCTGATATTGCACAAGTATCGAGAAATGCCTATTGTTGGTGGCTCCGGTGTTTTCCGGCTGGCGTGCGGTATCGCCACTGCACAAACCATTTGGTATAATCTTACCACCAATAATGCAGCTGTTGAGTATACCGTAATGGTTTTGCATTATTGATTTCCCATTTGGATTTTGTTTATTTGGTATTTGGTAAGGTTGTGACCTGCTTCTTTGTCAACGGTATTTCTAATTTTCTAGCTTCTAAACATTAAAGGAGTTATTATTAAGAATAAATGGGAATTTGATAATTGATAGTTGTCATATATTATAGCGTATGTTTGATCCTAATTATTTTAAAAAAATCGATTTTTTGGCAAAACAAAAGTTGACTCCTAAATGAATAAAATCAACTTAGTAAAAATGAATGTCTGTACATATACCCCCACCAAATATCACTCATAATTTGATCAAAATACTGTTTTGGCTCCAAATTATGATGCAAGGGGAAAAATTAATTCAAATCTAAATTACATTCTGAAAATTGGCCACAAAAATGGATCATCTACTATTACTGAAAGCAGTTCCACGGCCAAACATGTTTATTTCTCCTGAGTTATCCGCCTATGATCTCACAGTCGATAAAGATTGGTTAGGGATATTGGCGAATCAATTGGGTCGATGACTCAGAAGGTAACAAATGTTCGGGTCTT